TTTATATTATGATCTATTATTGCTTGAATTTGAACTTTCTCTGTATATTATGACCTCCATATTTATTGGTTACATATTGTGTGCATCAACGTATATATACACATGACATTTCTTACAGTATTGGGATTAAACCCAGGGCCTTGTGCATCATAGGCAAACAGTCTACTGAACTATATCTGAGCCTTGGCATGTAATTTTTTTACTCATTCTTTAATATTTGATGGCTACCAAGATAGCCTTAACATATACATATACATGTCTTTTAGTGTTTCATTAAAGAAATAGCTGCTATGTTTTCTGAATCCATAAACACTTGAAAATATCTTTTTGTTGCTTTGTTATACTTGATTAGAAATATATTTAAGTGGGGGGTTTGGAATAGCTGGAAGAACAGAGCCAGTATTTTTTACTATTGGTTGATAACCTGATTAGGTGCTTATTGCTGGTTTGCATTCACTATTTTTTTCAACCCCTATATCAATGAATAGGCTTATTTTTCCATTAGCTCTACCTAGAATACATTGTGATGAGTCCTCTCAATGCATATAATCAACATTTTAAAAATCCTGAAATGTGTTATGAGTTATCCTTCTATTTTCATTCTAAAGGTTATCAAATACTCAAACAACTATAATTATTAGGCAAAACTGTATTTTCTGGTCTTATATCAATTATCTGTTTATTTTTACCTTTATACTTTATTTCCTTTTTGTCATTTTATTTATTTATTTATTGTAAAGGTGATGTACAGAGGGTTATGGCTACATAACTAATACTTTCTTTTTGAACCATGTCACCTCTTCTCTCATTTTCTCCCACGTTTTTTTCCCTCCCGACTCCCTTTATTTCTTTTTATTTTAGATGTACTGGAGTTTAAACTCAAAGCCTCAAGCTTGGTAAGCAGGAGTTCTGTTGTTGAGCCATCCCTTCAGTCTTTTTCTGCACTGGTTATTTTTGAGATAGAGTCTCACTTACTGTATGCCCCTATGCCTAGGCCATGATCCTCCTTTTTAAGCTGTAATAAACTGTCGTGAGTAAGAATGGAGCTACATACTGGACAAAGAAAAACTTGAGAAATGGACATCAGTCATAGATAATTTTTGCAAACCACAACACCACCAAGATAAGCAAACTTGAGTTCTCTTTTCTAGCTTACAGCAAGCTTTGTCTTCACAAACTGATGTCATAGAAATATGAGTTGTTTGTAAGTGTGTGACCTTAGTTAAGTAGTTTGATTTGTTTTCTAATGAGATACTGAAAAGCAGACATTTAGTTCCAATAGAAGTAGTAGTTTAGGGGCTGGGAAGGTGGCTCAGTGGTAGAATGCTTGCCTTGTATGCATGAGGCCCTAGGTTTGATTCCTCAGCACCACATAGGCAGAAAAAGCTGGAAGTGGCACTGTAGCTCAAGTGGTAGATAGAGCTGAAGAGCTGAGGGACAGTGCTCAGGCCCAGAGTTCAGGTGCCATGATCAACAAAAATAATAAAAATAAAAAAAATACTAGTTTAGTCCTGACTAATCTGTTGTGTGCTATTCTCTAAAGTACCATTTCAGGAGCTATCTCTTAATCAAAATTTCAATTACAAGGACAAATAGGTTTCATTTCTGTTACTACAGTTTATCTTGTTCTCACTTACTCTGATCTTTTTAATAATTTTATTTCATTTTATTATCTGTGCTTTTTTTGTTGCCTTCTTAGGTCTAATTCTTTTTGTTAATCTCAGCAGATTAAAGACTTTCAGAAATCAGGTCTTTCTAGATAGTCCTCACTAGACACATGAAGGCTTTATAAACAATATCTAATGTTTTATTTATAATTCACTGTGTGAGCCCTATACTCTATGAGAAATGCATGTGATGTTGTTTCTATTGTCCTGCAGGACTTTTTCGAGGATTCTATATTATAGTTTTTATTCTGAAATACCCATCCTGAGTTATTCTTTTGTTCTGCACCTTTGATATTTTGGAATACTAGAATCTCTGTGCCTTCTTAGTGGTTAAATTTTTTTGTCCTTCTGATTAAAATATGAGAGTTAAGGTTTAGAGAGATTGAAGAATTAATCCAGGAGAACTTTAGTTAGCACAATCTAAACCAGGAGCTTCATTGTATTCACTGTTCCTTTCAATTTTGACTTCTAATTTGAGCTTATCAGAATGTATAAAATAACCAATGCTTCACTTTTTAAAGTTGGAATTTATTTATTATTATCTTTGTGAAGTTGTATGAAGGGGTTTCAATAGCTTTAATGCAAATTGCCTTCCAGAGATTGTGCAATATTTGGCTTTTGTCTATTTCTAACTTCATTTTTTTATTGTGAAAATACTGTACAGAGGGGTTACAATTACATGGGTAAGATAATGAGTACATTCCTTATCAAGCATTGTAGACTCCTCCTTTGTTTACCCTTCCCATCCCTTCCCATTTTCCCCCACCCCCTACCCAATCCTCCCCCCAACACCAAAGGTGTAAAGTTCATTTTCGACATAATGACTTGTACATCTCATTGTTGCAATGGGTCCACCTGTATCCCTAGTTAAATGATTTGTTTTTCCCCTTCCCCTCCACAAATTATACTGATATCAAAAACAGTGAAAGCAGGGGTTATACTGTGGGGGAGGGTCCTACATAGCAACAAAGAAATATCTAACTTCATCTTGACATTTCCATATTCTTGTTTCCAGCCCCTTACTGCCGGTCTTTCTTTTTGCTGCTCTTCAACTTGGACATTGCATTTCCTGATTCCTTTACCTGAAATGTTCTGACCCCCTTTTTTCCTGTGTGCCACCTCCTTCCTAGCCCTCAAATACCAGTCTTTTTAAGATGCGTTTATGTGAAGTAGTTGAACATCTCATTTTAATAATAGATTTTTTATTTCCTGTAGCACACACCTGATCAAAACTCAGTCCATTTGTTTGCTTGTTTTCTTTGGCTGAATGTAAGCTCCTCAAGGTTATGGCTTTGGCTTTCTCCCTCTTAATACTATGTCTACAGAACTTAGAATAGTACTTGGCACATCATAGATATTTAAAGAGTTGTCCAATGAGGAATGAATGAATGAATTGGAAAGCTGTTTTTACTTGGGAACAGGGTCTTTACATGTTTTTCAGTTGAACATATTAGTGAATTAATGTTTGTTGGTCACATTGCACATTCTAGATCAGTTTGGCTTCAATTAAGACACTTGAAAATGTACACTGTAATTTCATGCAACAGCAGAGATTTCTGCTTCAAACTTAATAGGCCCAATTGTCTTATTTAAGAAACAATTCAATAGCCACCTGAAAATGAATATCCAATAGGCATTAAACTCTTCAACTAATCACAACTGATTTATAGTATCTTGAATCACAACTCACAACTTTTTAACTACATGAGGTCTTAGTACTCCTTGAGGGGTTTTTTTTTGCTTTTGTTTTTGATTTTTTTTTATTGTTCTGGTCGTGGGGCTTGAACTCTGGGCCTGGGCACTCTCCCTGTGCTATTCAGCTCAAGGAGAGTGCTCTACCACTTGAGCCATGGTGCCATTTCCAGTTTTCTGGTGGTAAATTGGAGATAAGAATCTCATGGACTTTCCTTCTAGGGCTGGCTTTGAACTGCAATCCTCAGACCTCAGCCTTCTGAGTAGCTAGGATTACAGGTATGAGCCGCTGGCTCCCAGCTACCCTGAGTTGTTTTATACTTACTATACTAAAGTGTTTTTGTAAAGGTGAAAACATTCTTTCAAAATTACATGGGTAATCTTGGGTAATCCATGATTAGAAGCTCCGTATTGGGCCCTTTGATTGTATCAGGTTAACCCCTAGCTGCTCCTTGCCCACTTATTATATGGAATATTTCTGTAGATACAATAAAGTATGTATAATAGTTCATAATAAATCTGCATTGCAGAAAGAGAAATCTCAATCTTGATCAAACTTCCTAGTTTATTTCTAATCTGTAGAAATGAAACCATATGTTTCTTAGGAGCCTTACTGTTAAAACTGCACAGTGCTCCATCTCAGGCGACTGTAATGTGGAGCCAGAGGCCTGTAGGATAGATCTTCAAACCAAGGGGGAAAATAACAACAGATTCAGAATAAAACAGTGTTTTGAAAGGTTTTACATACTATATTTACAATTGAACCTGTATTGCCAATATCTATATTCAGAAATTACCAGTTTAGGTATCTGATACATTTACTTGTATGTTTTAAATAAAATATGGTAATGATTTACATAAATTTACCTGCACGTTTCTATAGAACAGCAAATCGTTGTGTTCTTAGAGCCAAAGATTTATCTTCTAATACTAACAAAAAATAGCAAATACTGCTTTATTTTTAAATTTTATTGTAAAGATGCTGCACAGAGGGGTTACGATTAGATGAGTAAGGTAATGAGTACATTTCTTGTCGAGCATTGTTACCCCCTCCTTTGTGACAACAGAGGATATACTATAGGGGGAAGAGCATACTAACCAAAAAGAGAAAGCACCATTTTTTGTTTTGTTTATTTATTTTTTTTGTTTTGTTTATGTATCAATGTGAAGGAAAGTTGATATACCTCAATGTTCACAAATATCCATGAAATGCATGTATAAAAAATTCTTATATAGTTTGAAAATATTTAACCTGAAAATGACTTCTCAGACTAATCTAATCAAGGCCTGTATCACTTACTTTATTATTCTTCTACGGTCAGCATCAATATTGTCTCATTTGTCTGTGTGTGGTACAACACATGATTGTAATAGATGTAGGTTTTTCTGTAAATAAGATGATTTTTGTGCTAACTCAACAAATCTTTAGTTCTTTGTGGTGATTTGTTAATAAAAAATAATTACATTATATGGAAAATACTACTTGCCCTTAAATGATTATGCTTATAAATCTAGAATCAGAGACTCCTAAAACCAAGGTATTATGTTGCCAAAAATATCCCTTGTTATAGAAATGGGTGTAGAGTCTTAAATCTGATAACCACGTAATGAGGTTTTATTTCTCCAATTCTGTATGTGCAGGAATATATGGACTCTAATAAATATATTGAGCATCTGCTAACTCAACTCGAGGAACAACACAGAAGTCTATGGCGGTGAGTTAAATTCCTGTATTTTTTGGGGGGTGCTCAGGATATAGTCTATGGATCTATAATTTTGGTCATGGTTTAGGGAGTTGTAAAAAGATGTCTCCTACTTGGTGCCAGCAGGAATCACAGGAGTTCCTTGCAGAATGTCATTCCTTTGATTAAAGTAAAGGAACAGTGCCAGAAGTTGCTGTTGAGTGTAGGATCTGTTCAGAGGCAGATCCTCCTTATTTTAGGAAAGTTAAAAAGCCTGAAACTTGTCAAGGTCAAAGAATTAAAGATATGTTCTCAGGGCCACCTGTCCAGACTTACAGGGTGGAAGAAATTAAAACATTAATTCTCTGACCCTTGCCTGCTTAAAGATTAAGTTTTACTCTAATTAAATTCTGGCACATTTTAGTTTCAGGAGTCTGCTTCTTATTGTAATAAATTTAAAGATGCTGTTGTGTAGTTTTCCAATATTTAATATTTCCTTTTCATGCTGCATACTGATTTTAAGTAAGGAAGGATACCCAAGGATATTTGTGCAAGCACATTGGGAATACAAATTGGTTACATAGAAGTTGAATTCCAAAGTCACTACCCTCCTCCCCCAGGACCTCTTAGAAAGAAAGTGATTGTAATGTCATTAGTTGGCTTTGGAGAGTCTGAATGGTTGTATTGATTGTGTGCGCCATTATAGAGCTCAAATTTCTACTAAGTTTCTATAGTTCTTAAGTTTTGAAAATATTCTAATTTTTTTTTGCTAAACTCTCAGGAGTTATTTATTTTTAACATATTTTTTATTGTAAAGATACTGTAAAACAGGGTTACAGTTACATGAGCAAGGGAATGAGTCCATTTCCTATGGACCATGCCCCTCCTTTGTATTTCCCCTACCATCCCTTTCCTCCCCATCTCTCCAACTCCTCCCTCCCCCACCCCAAGCCCCAAGTTGTAAAGTTCATTTTCAACAAAGTATCTTGTACATCTCATTGTTACAATGGGTCATCCTGTATCCTTATTTCAACCTTTTGTTATTTCCCTTCACCTCCCCAAATTAGAAAAATTAATATAGAAGATGCAGGACACTGGATTCTAAGTAGAATGAACCCTAAGATAGGGACACAAGAGATTTTATCTTTCTTGTTGTTCTTTGTAATGTACTTATAATGTACTTTGTGATTTGTTTTTGTTTCTTTGTTCTTCCCCCAAGTATAACCCTGGTTGTATAATATTTAATTTTATGATTCCTCTCATGCATAATTATTTCCTATTATTACTTTGTATAATCAAGAGTCAGAAAGCTCCTAAAGTTTATTTATTATTAATTTATTTATTGTAATCTCTTGGTAGATAGTACTCTGCTTGTACAGAGATGGAAGGGAAGGTAAATATTCTCTGACTGTGTGGGTCACTTGCTAAACCTCTTCCAATTCCATCATCACTGAGCTCAGTACCGGCTGCTCCATCTTCATAAATCATTGTAACACACTCTAAAACCTTGAAATTCATCTTCCTCAGTAGTTCTAGTTCTTTGGTCAGGTATGATGAATTTTAATTAGTTTTACTCAATTTTCAGACTAGAGACTAGATCTCTGGTCATTATAGCAAAACACTCTCTGCTTCTGTATATAGAAAACAACTGATAGAAAAATGGCAAAAATAAGATTCCAATTTAAGTGTATTTACCACAATACACACACATAGATACACACAAAGGGTAGTTTTATATTGACTGGTGCAATATCTGCAAGATATTTTGAAAGCTAAACCTAGATTTGACAGGTTTTTTGAGCTAGTATATAAAAAATCAACTATGCTTATGGTGATACACTTCTAATGATCATTTTCCATAGTTTAACAACTTGTATGTTAAATTATATTTGAATTCATTGTATAGAGTGTTTTATTTACCAACTTTTTCAAGAGAAAAACTACACAGAAGGTTATTAATGCTATCTGATGAAAGAAGATTATGGTTTAATTGGGCCAGTAAGTATATCTGAATCATGTCATTGTGGCAGAGTAATGGTTTTATGGGCTCTTTGAACCAGCAAAAACCTGCAAGGAAAAGGCTATTTTCTCTTTCTTGAGGTAGCTAACAAAAACCTTTTGGTCCTCTCAGATATGATTAAATTAAGATCTTATTTCAGGCACAGACTTACCCTAACAAAGTAAGAGAGAGCTCAGAATTTTGTGGGCAATCACTTCCATTTTCCTTCAGAAATGGAATTATTATTGGTGAAGAATTAAAGCCTTATATATGGTTTCAAGATCTAATAAAAAAGCTCTATTTGAATAACAATTGAACAAAATAATGACATTTAGTCAGAATAACTACCAATGAGGATATGGGAATGGATAGTATTGAAAAGAAACTGAAAACCAATAATAGCAGATTATATACAATTTGTTGAATCATGAAATTACAGTTGATTACATTTTGCAAACAAATTCTAACTTGACTGACTTAAAGTGACAGACCATATGATAGTTATTTCAGTATGATAGTTATTTCAGACTCATAGTTACAATGGTAGCCACATTGTTTTTGGTGAAGACTATGTGAATAACAGTGAGGAGTGTGGAAATGTTTTCTGGTTATCATTGAGGATTTTTTCATTTTTTATTATTATCATTTAACATTTGTACAAGGGATTTATAATTCCGTAAGTCAGGTTATGAGTACAATGCTTTTTGGTCAATGTCACCCCTTCATTCTCTTCCATTTCCCCCCTCCCATCTCTACTTACAAGTTACATAGTCCATTTTTACATAGTATACATTGAATACCATTACTGCATTTGTTCACCCTTTCCCCTTCCATTCCAGTGCCCTCTATTTTGCCTGCTCCATAATAAACCTGTCTAAAGAAACAGTACTTAAGTTGTTCAGAGATGCTATGCCTTTGGATTCCTCCATTTTATAAATGCTTTATTCATGAGTTGGAATAGAGCCTATGATGTGTAGGGAATTATGGGAGTAATGTGTTGCATACACCAGCACAACTGCATTGCCTGAAGTTAAACAAATGTTCTCGTATATTGGTATGGACTCTTCTGAATTTACCATGCTTTTGATTTGTGGCTCCTGTAATTTTCATGGAGTGGGCTATTTGTCATTGCTGCTAGTATGAACTGATAGAGTTAAGTTTTTACTCAAACTAATTTACAACTCAGAAGACAATTTTTGATTATATTTTGTTCTTCCAGAAATTGTGGTCATTAGTTTTATGGACATCAATGTTTATTATTGAGCAAAAGTATGGTAGACATGAGGTTTGTTTTTATTGCTACTTAGTGAATGATAAGAGTTGCACATGTGATAGAGCAATGGGTAGAAGCATTTTGATGAGTCTCTTTACCACCACAGAAGGGGTTACTAGTCTTTAGATTTTAGTTGTTTCTTACAGCATAACCATCTGTGTTGATATAAAAATATATTGTAATCTCACTCAAGATAACCAGTTATTCTGGGCACCTGTTTAGTATTCTACTAAAATAGACCTATCATCTATATTTGAAATTTCAAATGGCAAAGAAATTTGTGGAGTTCAAATACAGCTGTCCAGCAATGAGCAGTCATTTAGTTCCACGCTCTTTGATATCAACAACTTCTTTTTAAAGAGATAAACTTCTGTGAATTTATTTTAAGAAATTGATGGACTCAGAATATAGAACAAACTCTCTGCTTACTCATGCTTACATTTAAGTCTCAATGTACTGTTTGTCTCTCTGATTAAATTAGAAAAATAAGTATAAAATAATTTGAAATACAATATTTGTTCCAATAAAAGTATTTTATATAATCTGGGATATTTCTTTTTTTATTGTGAGAATACCATGCAGAAGAGTTACAATCACATGGGCAAAATTACTAGGACTTTTCTTACCAAGCATTGTTGCCTCGGCTTTGTTTCCCCTTCCCATCCCTTCCCATACTCTCCCCTCCCCCCATCCAATTCTCCCCCCACTCCCCACCAAAGTTGTAAAGTTTGTTTTCAACATAATGACTTGTACATCTCATTGTTGCAATGGGTCCACCTGTATCCATCATCTAGGGATATTTCTGATTTTGATAAATGTATCTGTGACAGACAGTTATGATCATAAGAAGCAGCTACAGAAAATGTCTTTTTCCTGACATTTAATAAAAATCTTTATCCATTTGATGCCACGAATTAAGAGTTTAAGAATAAACACAAACAGTTTTAAAGGACAAGTAAAACTAATGAATATTTATGCTATTTAATATATTCTTTTATGTCACATGTGAAATTATGTATGAAAAAAGTAGAACTAACATGTTACCATAGTAATAATAGAAAGGATTGAACTAGAAGTTATGGAGGACTTTGACAAAAGTAGCTATTGACATATATCTCATATCTGTAAAAGAAGGTATTAAAATGGCTAGTATTTAAGATCGCTAAGCACTGGATTATATGGAATATAATGTGTAGAATAGGATAATGCAGCTATAAGACATAGACTATTATTGGTCTTTTTATATAAATATATATATACATATAGATAATTTGAATTTTTGGAAACTTTAGCTGTGCTGTCAACTTTGGAAAAAGTATCCCAGTTTACCGTGTTGAGTTGGCATTGTACAGAAATTAATAGCCATATTGGTCTAGAAATGTTAAACTTAATTTTTTTCCATTTGTACAGGGGTAAATGCACTGTATGAAATATGTAAGGTCTTATCTACGTGGGTTTGATTACAGAAACTAATAAAGTATTTTCTAAATAATGAAAAAACACATAGACTGATGTGTGTTTTTATAGAACACACATTGAATATTGTTCAATGATACTCCATAATGTATACACAGAATAGAAAACCTCAAAGGAAACAGTAGAAATGTATAATCAAATGGTCCATCTGTTTTTTTAGTAACAACCAGATATTATTCATTTGGGGGCAGTGATACCCAAAATTAATAAAGTGATACCTAAGGGAATCTGCATGCCCCAACAGGTCCATCTGATGAATGTAGCATGTCAGCTACCTGTCCAGAT